TGATAAATGCAGAAACGTCTTTAAGCGGCTCGGTATGGTAACGCTTATCTATCTGTTCACTACACATTTCCTTGTTAACCAGTCACACAACATTAAGAACTTCATACAACACTATGCACATACTGCTGAGTAGCCCACTGTCATAGAGTCATAACTTTTTAATGTTGTACCTAACTGTGTCCTTCATGTTCAAACAGCACATGAATGCATGCTTCTACTATATTCGCCAGGTAGCAAAATTTGGGAAAGTAAAGTTAAGAGCTACAACGACGGACTCGTGGTTCCAGAACAAGATAAAAGATATATTTCTCGCTTTCCAAAAAGACCATCAAGTTCGCTTTCCAAAAAGACCCTCAAGTTCTGTTGTCGGAGAGCAGCATGATTAAGGCTGTCACAGGTCGCTTGATATCCCTAAGCACATCTTGGGCCGATGTAGACTATGTGTTCATACCACTCCTGCCCACGAACAAAGCTCACTGGATGCTAGGTCTAGTAGAATTTAGAAGCCATACTTTGATGCTGTTCAATTCAGCTGGAAAAACATATCGTGATTGGAATGTGCTGGAAGGTATTGAACCCTATGTGAAGGTATTGCCTGCTCTTATGAAAGCGTTGGGAATTTCCAAAAAAGACCCCGATTACAACGAATCTGAATGCAAGCAAATGAAGGTGACCATTGACAGTACTCTGCCTCAGCAGACGAATGGGTAAGTATGTGACCAACTACAGCAGTATAACTTGTAAATTAATTAATTCCTAACATACTATAATGTGTGCTTTTACAGTCATGACTGCGGGGTGTTCGTGATATTGTACGCATTGTATATCCTCCGTGATGGCAGATGTGCTATTTCCCATAAGTTCGATGCTGCAAAATATAGAATTGATATCGCCTCACTACTCTACAAACACCGAGAACCTTACGTGAAGAAGGCGAGGCAGGCTTTTAAAGGGGAGGGGATTGTAATAGAACGACAAATATGAAAACATTTGTAAATGAGTTTTATACTTCAGTTGGTAGCATTTTATATTTCTTTAAAGCAATGGAGGTGTTTGTACTCAATACTGTCATGTGGATGTGAATATGCTTTTGCAATACATGGGTGCCCTAACCTTCATTTGTTAATATGTTGTTGCAATACATGGATACACAGTTGTGCTTTTGATATATGATTTATTTTTTAATGTCGTGTGTAAATTAGTTTACATATCAACAATACCAGGTCACAAATTTAAACTCTCATTTGGTGGGAGTTACTTTGGCATGACATATGTCGATAACAGGTCACATGTGATATACATAGCAAGTCACGAATTTTAGCACACATAATATATGATGCAAAGATCAGGTCACAGGTCGAACTGTACCTCAAACATTAGGTCACAGGACCATGTCACAGATTTAGTATTGCTTTTGGTCGGCGTTTCAGTTTGTCATTACATATGTTAATAGCAAGTCACATAGTAAATAACAGGTCACATACCTGGCCACTGATTTGGTTGTGATTTTGGTCACAGTTTTTGTTTGCCATGGCACATGTCAAGAACAGGTTACATATCAATTACAATAGCCTGCCAAGAGTTTATCACAGTACATTTTATTTATGGAATCAGTGACCTGGACATATATTTCTTCTCCACCACGTTTAGGTCACATTTCATGCCTTTAAGTGAATTAATAGTCACAATTCAAATATATTGCTGTGTATAGAATCTATAATCACAAATTTACAAAACTCTATGTTCAACTGAATAAAATGTGCTGATGTACTTCGTTTATCATTTATTACCTTACTATTTAAAAATTATTTGTCAATTGATCAATTGAAACACATGTTTGCATGTTGGTATGCTAAAAAGAATTCAAGAATGCGACCAAACTTTGATAAGTCTTTATCATGTATTGACTTCCTATCAACCGTTCTTACTTAATGGGACCAAACTTCAGCACCTTCTGCGGTTGTGACCATGTGCACCACAACGTCCACATCTTACTTTTGGCTTCCCTTCCCTAGATGATCTCTTCCTCTTCTCAGTAGGTCTTCCAGAACTCCGCTTTTGGTTAGGAGCTAAAACAATTTGGAATTCTACTTCATCGGGCACTCTCCACTCGCCTGGATTTCCAACGGGATATACCGAACTTTCGTAAGCATTTACATATGCTTCCTTTGTGTAATAATAGGAACAGTAAGAATATGCATCCCTTTTTGTATGTGCGATTACAGCTAATGCATGTGGACAAGGCATCAAATCGACCTGCAGCATCCTGCAAGTGCATGTACGTTGCTCAATATCAATAACAAATGTGGACCTTTCATCGCTCACGGAGAACACTGTTTGGTTGGAAGGAGAAACCTGTGAGAGTGTAATAGCACCAATGTTATGTGTTAGTTTAAACTCAAAAAAGAATAGGTCACAGACATTCATATCTCAGTGCACAATGGTATGTTCAGGTCACAGGACTTCATACTCAGGTCACAGGTTTAGCATTAGTAACAAATTATATAGCACGACAAACAAAGTACATAGCGTCACATACGTAAATTAGTGGTCACATGAAATTAATATTTGGACACATAAGCACATACGTACATTCCATGTCACAGACACCTATGATATAATCACATGCATATTTCTGTTTAGTCCACATACACGAACTTCAAGATACCTAAGAACCTTACCCTCAAGTTCCT